AAATAGGGACCACCTCGATGGGAAGGTAACAGCATTCTGTGTCTATGTCGCACTGGCCATGTGACCATGGAAGATTGTCTTTGGACAAACACTGGCTCTATGGCTTGGAAACAGGGATGAGCACCGCCCCCTAGAGTCGAACACAACTGGACAAAGATTGCCAAGGGGAACCTTTACCTTTACCTATACACCATCAGCCAGCAAACAGATCACTTGATGTTTGGATCCAGTTCCCATGCTACACCAGTATTATTCTGCTGTTAACCTATAAATATGCATCCTTTATTTTATTGGCAGAAACCCTGATGCTTCGTGTTTTAGTTTTAGCTAAAGTAGGCCCATTGAATCAGTGGGGATTTGATGAGTCATCTCCTCCATATGTTCCAATGAGTCAAAGGGCCTACTCGTGTTGCAAATTAGGACACTAAGCATCAGGTTTTCAACCACTGATACCTTTATTTTATCTATCTCTACATGTGAGTCAATATGAAATTATTTCTGGAGAAAAGGGGAAGAGCGGTGTGTGCAGGTCTGCCACCTGAGTCTGCAATTCTTGCCTTAATTCTGCTTCTACTGTATCTACACTCGTTTCTCTGTTTACTGACAGTGAACTCTCCTGATAATTTTATTTCATTCAACCACCCCATCCCAGTTTCTTCTTTGAACATTTAGATTCTAAGCCAGAGGTACCACGCAATTTGATATTAAGGACAAATAAATGTTACTTGTTTCATAGAGTGGAACCATAATTTGAATGGCTAAATAGCATGAATTTGAAATATAGTGTGTCCTCGGTGATATTGACCAGGCTGGTAGCAGGGCCATGATGGTCTTAACAATAGAATGCACTGCTCATCTAGCACGCCCGAACCATTTCATCACTAGGCCATAAAGGCCCTTTGTCTCGGCATTGAAGTCTTTCTCCTTGTCAGTCTGACTTAGAAAACTAAGATGTACAATCACATACATCAGCCTAGAACTTTGACCTATCATACATTGTCTGCAAAATTCTTTTTTTCTCCCCATGTAATGCTGGAGATGAATGAGTGGATGTTATTATCTGTGTGTGTACAATCCTGAGTGAGCGCTTCTGTTTCTGTCCTTGACTTACCTTTCTTTTCTCTCCCTTTCTTCCCATTTCTTTTTCTCTTATTTCAGTATCTTAGTACCAACCAGACCTTCTCTTTACAACACTATTCTATTCTTTTATTTCTAAAACACTCATAATGCCGCACAAACACAACCAGCTTGAATAGGAGGAATATATACAGAGTGCTCACCGCAGTGGAGGAGGACGTGATCTCTGAGATTCCACATACTGCTTGCACAGTCGTCCTTCACTTACGCTAATAAATAAAAGAAATATTTCTGCCTTCTGAATTCTTGAAATAAGTTTGGGAAATGCTCAATAGCACTGCACTGAGCATTAGCACCGAAAGATTCAAAATCAGACAATAAGTAAGGCTAGGGAGATAGCTGCACGAGTCAGGGCTTCCATACAAACCATTTTAAGAATCATTGGGAGGCTCAGGAATTGGCATGGAAAGTATGTTTTTTTATTGTTGCCTGGAAAGGCCTTGAGAATTTGCACACACAAAAAGGAAAGGAAAAAGGAAAAAGAAAAGCCCATCTCCATTCACTGAATTAAATAGAATTATTAGAAAGGGGGCAGAGAAGCTAGTCCATCTAATTTCTCTAAGAAATCAAACTCTGCAAAGACATCCCCTCTTGCCCTCACCAATTTAAGAGCTAACTATAGGGAACAGTCAAGAGCAACAGAGTCAACCTTTTTAAGCATCATAACCTGGACTCCTCTGCTTTGTGTAAGCTGCTTCAGCACTCCTTTATGCTAATTTATACAGTACACAGCTCCTAAGCTGTATTACTAAAATTAAAACATTTGTTTCTCAGAAATCAGAATGATATATATGCAACTAAAAGAGCAATTAAAATCACCCGCAGATGTTGTACAGTTTTCTTAAGTTCTTTGCATATAAGCATGCTCAGAGGAATCCAAACAAATGCTGCTGGGGGGGGGAACTCTTCTGAAAAGAAAGCAGTGGCACCACAGACTGTGCTCCAAAGTGCTTGGCCTCTACTGAGAGCTCAAAGCAGTACCAGACTATTATAAGTGAATGGATCTCATGGATGACTGATGCAATTAATGGGCCAAAGCCTCTCAATTATCCAAAAAGAAGGGCAGCTGCATAATAACTTTTCTACCTTGAATTTTATACAGTGCTTCACTTCAAAATTTGTGTCAACTCTGCAAGTTCCTAAAATTCAGTTCATACATTTAACAGCTATCACTAGGAAAAATATTTTATACATGGGATGGGTGGGTGGAATATATGTAGGGGCCCTCACCACAGAGTGGTTACAAAGACACACACTTTATACAAAGTGCCTACATTATATAGCTCTGAATACAGAGTCACTGGTTTTCAAACTGGCAATTCTACTTCCATAGAACCTAAGTGCAGACTTGGCAACAGCACCTGAAGACTTTCAAGCTATTTAAATGGTGTTGCTAAGAGGTATAAATGAGAGTGTGAAGTTGCTTAACAGAGCAGAAAGCTCACTGTAATAAAGGACAGGATAAACAGTGGTTGAAATGGGCATGCCACAGAAAATATTTCTCACCTATTCTTTCAGAGCCTTGCAACAATCAGAAAACACCAATATCTATAGTGTGACTGTACAACTTATGACTCTCCAGGCCAAACGCTGACCGTGTTTGGCCTGGAGTGGTAATTCTCAAAGCTTTCTAAATCTTTTGGTTTTGTTGATTGCCTGGGATTAGACAAACAAGACTGACAAGCATCACAGTGCAGGACTTGTAGATTGTTCTTGCTTGGAACATCACAAATAGTGCATAAATACCCAAGAATATTTGTAAAATATTAACAAAATGACCGGAAGTAGACCAATAGGTAACACATTTCAATACCTCAATCGCAGCCCTCCCTGTTTACCTGCTGTCTAAGAAATGGTAGAAGAGTGCCAGTGAAGATAAGAGAGGACATGCAATTACATGGAGGAAATCAAATAGTGCACTAGCAATCTGGAACTGATACAAATTTGCTACATTATGTTTATTCATCCCTTCTTTTCATGAATTCATTTTCTTGCATTGGTTTAACCAGTCAGGCCAAGTTCTGTTTCATAAAATCACAAAGCCATTTCAAACTGGTCAGCTTGAAATATTTCAAAATATGCACCTACACCTAGAGAATGCTGTTTCACCATGACTCATGAGAGGCACATTTCCCCAATAATAATCTTCTGGGGACTGCATGCCCGTGTTAGATCCCTCTGGTAAAGTAGGTATAATAAAAGGAAAAGTACATGTAGCAAAAATAGCAACTGGATCAAAGCAAGACTTGAGAAGAACAATTCATACTCTTTTCCACATTCACCTGTAACTCGTTGCTGTTCATCCATACATGGATGCAAGGCACAGATATTCATTCACATGTTTGGACAACCTGCGCTGTGGAGATGTTAACTGAATATGTTAAGAAATCCCAATTCCCTTATACTCCAGTGCTATTCAAATCCTTCATTCTAAACACTGTATTAAATCCAGAATCTGATCTCTGTGAAATATGTACATACATACACATTTTAAAATGCATATTTCCTATAGCATTAATATAGAAATATATATGATTGAAATAATTTATCTGCTCCATGGAATAAACATGTGTCATCATTTTGAAGCATACAGCCAGGGCTGATTTGCCTTCAGAAATCAGGCTTACCAAGCATGGCTTAGTTTCATGATCAGAAAAATTCAAAATCTGCATTTCTCTCCGTCTATTCTCATTTAGGCAGACTTCTTTGAAAATGTTAGGATTAGGCATTCGTCCTCTGGAAAGCAAGCCCTAAAGGGCAAGAAAGTAGCATGAGCAAGGCCAGAGAAGGCACGTGATGTAGGCCTCACCCTGAACACTTCTCAGCAACTGAAGTCTTCTCTACAGATAGGTTTAGTTTCAGAATATTCAAGCAACACACATACATTCCATTTTCAAATGTTATGTTACAAACCAACCAACAGAAACGTTAAGTGCCACTGCTTCTACATATAAATCCAAAAAGGAGTTCAGGCAAGCTATTGAGAAAATTTTCAAATGTTATGTTACAAACCAACAAAAACGTTAAGTGCTACTGCTTCTACATATAAATCAAAAAGGAGTTCAGGCAAGCTATTGAGAAAAGTAATCAAGGACTAATAATATTTTAGACCAATTCCCTTGCATCTATATTGGATCTTGGCAAACTCCTCTAATGTGCAGAACACAGTGGCTGAAATCCTGTTGCCTTGTTTTGGGTAATAAGTTGTACTATAGTCCCACTGAATCAGTGGTTATTTGGTGAGTCAACTCCCCACAACTTCCACTAATTCAAATTCTGACAGTAACTTACAACACTAAGCAACAGGATATCAGCCAGTAAGGCCTGGATAAGAGGTCTTTACAATACAAGCCTATCCTAATTTGTTCATATGGCCATCTAGACATCATATATGTGGTCGATAAATAGTCTGAATCTGCACAGCATATTTAGAGCTTGTGGAAGGCATATACTTTCTGCCTATGTAGTATCTCTGAAAGTGGCAACGGGCCTGACATTTATTCAGTTGTTTTAAAGATATCACTCCCATGTCCCATATTGTCAAGTTTATAGATACACATCTTGTCTTTAAACTTTTACCCTGCTCACAGGAGAAAACTGGCAGACAAACCTGCTATATGAAATGAGTAATCAGCCCAAAAACCAGAACCTTCTGCATGCTGGCAAATTTAAGATGAAGGTGTTCTTTTGTATAGGTTTTATAGCACTACAGAACCAACACAAATGTTTTGTATGAACTGAACCCTTGATGCTCATTCATTTCTTTGCTATCAAGTAACTGGGAGAAATTACGTTAAATACATTGATAATCTTCCATTATAAAAGACTAATAAGCTTTGCTCTATGTCTGCATATTAAAATACCTGTTGCCATGAACATGAGAAGCACAAAAGGCAAAACTGTAATGGAGCAAGGTTGGGTCAATGACAGCGCCATTCTCTGAGTGCTCCATCAATTCATTCAGGTAGCATAGATGACGGTGACAACCTCTCACGCCGTAACGAGCACAATATTCATCTAACACGAAGACTTGGCCTGGGCTAAACCAACCCTGGAAGAGATGGGGAGGGAGGAAAATGTTTTAATGACTCTGGAGTGCTATTTTCTTCGTTCCCCCCCTCAAACTAGATTTGCATAGAGAGACAAGCTTAGAAACTGAAGGTATTTATACAATTATACAATTAATTGTCTTACTGTTTTTAAAAATAAATTTAATTCCAGCAACAAATCTAGTGCATTAAAAGCAGCTAGGCTCCAAGGACAGTCTGAAAACTGCAAATGCCACTTTTAATGCACATGGTCTTTTGTTGTTATATTGCTGATTATGTTTCCTCTCCTGTATGGAAAATATTGTAAAGAAATAGTGTAAATGATTGGTTTTGAAGTTACATTATTGTGGGGGAAAGAAGACAAGAGAGATACAAATAGCATAAGAAGCATAAGAAAGGAAGTCCCCGTGCATAAGGCATACTGTACATTGTTGCTCAGGAACAGCAAAGACAGAAAGGAAGAATTGCTATTACAGGAAGACAAAGAGGGACCCACAACAATAAAGAACCCTGAGGAGATACCACTGGGCCCTGAGGTGACTATGAAGCATGGAGAGAAAGAGCAGCCTATGACTCATGGGCCCAACTCTCTTAAAAGCACTAGATCAAAAAAGGAACCTGGGAACCCAGGAGAGGAACTAGCTGGTATTTCAGGGCTTACAAGATAGATAAAATGGAAGCCAAAAGGTACAGTACTTCAACTAGCAGTTTCATTCTAGTCAAGGAACTGGGGCAGAGGTATATTATGTTTTGGCCTTAAGGTAAAGGCACTGTCAAAAGCCAACATCTTGAAGCTACTGGCAGACTTAAGTCGGAGGAAGCTGATGGAGAACACCTTAAAAAAACCCCACAACTGTTCATTTAGACTTCTCTCTGTGAACTAGTTCTACTGTAGACAAGTAGTTTAAAATGTCCAGAGAGCCCATCTCCAGCTCAACACAACACCGATCCCTCTTGGTCCAGTGGTGAGCACTATAAACAAACTTGTTTTGGGATATTACCAAGAAGTTATGACCACAGGGGGTCAACTCCAGGTTGTGAGAGCTCAGATGCACACTACTGTGGACATTTTATTGAAGAAGCTTCATAGGCTTTGTTTCAGAAAATATGGCAGATGAGGATTGATTGGTTCTAGTGGGCCGTAAAGATATGTCTTGAAGAGCAGAAATGGTGGGGGGGTGCTGGGGAATCCACTACTCAAGTAATCTTTGAGGGATGGGGTGGGATACAATGGGAGATTTCAACTTGGCTGTTAAAAGGGAAAGCAGGGGAAGTGTTTGGCTGTTGTTCCCACCCTTCAGGTTGCACTCTAACTAAAGAAGTCATGGTGACAAAGATGTAGACCTCCCAGTCTGAAAATCCTTTTCTTTAATGCCATTAACTGCTCAGAATTTGATTCTGGATGAAGATTCTGATCTGGCTTATATCATAGAGATGTGATTGAAAGAAGAGGAGGGACGTTTGTCTTACCCAGGCCTGTTGAACTAAATATTCCATGGTATAGCAGGCTGTTGCAGGGAGGCAGAGTGGCTGTAGTCCTTAAAAATTAATCTTGCCGAACACATTTTTTTGGAGGCAGTCTGTCTATTTTAAATGTACCTTGTTGCTGCTGAGTGAGAAGGACAGTCTGAGAATGTTCCTTGATCCTATGTTGTCCTTAAATTCTCAGGTGGCAGGAGTGGTAAGAAACATAACTGTGCTTAGTGCCCCAGCTACAACCTTTCCTGATTTGACCTGACTTGGAAACATGCATTTGTACCCTAGTTACATCACATCTTGACAGCTTCAAAATGCTGCATGTAGAGTTATCACTGAAGAGGGTCCAGAAATTTCACTTTCTGCAATATGTAGCAGCCAGACTGCAAACCAGTACATGGTCTCCAGATCGCATGTCGCTGATATGGAAAGAACTACATTGGTTGCCAGCTGCTTGCTAAGCCTAATTCAAGGTACTGGTTTTTTATCTTCAAAGCTCTCAACGGCTTGGGGCCCAGCTAGCTGTCTTGTTATGGATCTGTCTAGACGTTCTGATCTAACGGACAGAATCTCTACAATCCTACAACCTAATACATTAAGGACACCTGCTTATCCTTAAAATTGCAACTTTAAATTGTGAGGAGCCTGGTTAAGCTTCAAGATAGCAACTGGACCAAAGAAAGCCATTGAAGTTCATGGCCAAGTGAGGAACTGAGCCTAGATTCCCTCCGGTTGTAGTGCAATACTCCACTTCACTGAGCCAAATGGGTTAACTGGCAATTTTCAGTAGCTTACATATTCCAAAAAATCACTTATTCTGACAAGAGGAAATGTGGCAAGAAATGGAAGAGGGAAATCACAGCAAGGAATTACAGGTATTACCCATTTCTTCACAAGAGTCTCCTCCAGTTTCTTCTCCCTCACAGAAATATTTTATGTGCCAGTAAAACAGAAGACTTGAGTTTTCAGCTGACTAATGATATGGGCAATAAAACTTTAATTTAGAATTATTTTGTCATGTACTGGACTTTCAATAAAGGAGTTTTGTTTTGGCTAGTAGGTGACAGTTACATCTTTGACACAACTCTGGGAGGCAGTGGAAGACAGGAGGGCCTGGCGTGCTCTGGTCCATGGGGTCACAAAGAGTCGGACACGACTAAACGGCTAAACGAACGAACGAACGACAGTTACATCTAATTATTTTGTACAAAGATGATTTGATTTATTGAAAAATGCTATATGTGTCACGTTCCCGCCTGTCCTTTGGTTGTTTCACCAATCAAAGGCACAAGCTACATGTCATTCAGCTGCCACCAGTTGATTACATCAACGTTATTCCCTATTAATGACAGAGGTCCAGCCAACGTATCATTTAAGAACCAAGTAGGAATTGTTTATCGTTACAGGTGATAATATTCCAGTGAATGTCATTAACTCTCAACTAAACAAACTTCTCTCTTCACTCTTAACTGCCTACTCTTTCTCTCTCCCTTCCTCCTTTTCTTCACCCCACTTAACTCCGCCCCTCACCAATACCTATTGGTGTATGCAAATTTCCACATAATATTAATGAGCAGGGTGAACGCTACAGTAAGCTACTTTCATTTTATTTCCTGAAGTGCAGAAGACTATTTTCAACACAGAGAGACTGTAACTAAACCGTATACAGTGAGTACAAAAAACCCAACAACCATAAATATCTGTGATAGAAGAACTACTCTGACTTACTTGATGTCTGTGTAAGGAGTTCATAAGCTATATGCCCAATAGCAGAATCGCCTATTGAAATTTCTTATTTTTCCACAGTGGGAAAAACTGTCTGGATCAGAATGATCCCACCTCCAAAATGCCAGTCATAAATGGAAAGCTAACAAGGCAGAAACTTGCAGATTCAATCCATGTCAGATCCTTATTGAAACTCCTGGATAAATCCTGTCAGTCAATATAAACCAGTGGTTCCTAACCTTGGGCAACCATGTGTTCCTGTACTGAAATTCCCAGAAGAATTCCCAACCATCTGTGCTGGCTGGGGTTTCTGTGAGCTGCTATCTAAGAACACCTGGGTTACCTAAGGTTGGGAATCACGAGTGCAGATAACAGTAAATTAGATGGGCCAATGATTTATTCAGTATAAGGCAACTCCCAATATTCTATGTTCTAGTGAAGGGCAGTATGTGGACATTAGCCATTGCTTGTAAGGAAACATATACAGATGTTCCTTCCTCAAAGGCTGCCATGCTCCATGTGTGTTAGGCACAACAGGAATTCTTTATATGAGGACTTTGAACACATGCAGGGAATGTTTTCCATGTTTTTGTACTTTTCAGTACACACTAAAGAACAGCTTCTGGTAAAGCTTTTAGCATCCCATAACCTTGCCTCATTAAATGAATTTAATGTTTTTGCCTTCATGTGACACCATTTCTGACTTAAAGTCCTTGTTTTCCCATGACTCCTTCCATCTTTTTCCTTGCCACTGAAAATCCATTAGGGAGCAAAAGACAGAATAACTGCACAGTACTTTTTAACTGCTAGCCTAAGGAGCACTCCTTCTGAAAACTGCTTAAGATACATATTTTCAAACTGTCAAGGGCAAATGCAAATATGCATTTGCAGACATGCACATGATATAATATAGATACAGACAAAACAGATACCATATTGATATTATGATGTAACATAGCTGTAGTTGTCAGGTGTCAAGAGCCAAGATTGGCCTATAGTCACTGTTAGGCATTGGTTTGCTGTTGTATAATGTGTGAAATGGCGCTTGCTTTTTGACTGGAAACAGTGCACCGTAAGCCCAAAATGGCCAATACAAGACATATGCTAAACAAAGACATCAGAAGAGGATAGTTTATATTTCAATTACTGGACTAGGGTTCATACTGCATAAAATTAAGTGCAACAGAGCAGATGTTTTAAGTGTACTCAAGTACCTTTACTATCCTCATGAATGGCATCACTTTTGTTGTGAAATGTTTAAGTTTATCATTTAGAAAAATTACCAGTTTCATTCAGTTTGTGATCCTCCATTTTGTTTGATTAGTCCATTGACTGTATTAAACATAGGATGACATCAATTAAAACAGACTAAGCCAGCCGGCCAACGCCTGATCAATGAATGTATAAAGAAGTAAGCTAGGAACATGAACTCTGTCAAACTGTTTTCATTTAATTTTTCTCATTTATGCATTCTCATGATTGCAACCCCCTCAGTCCTCAAATGTTCTATGCTTCTTTTGTAAGTTAAAAAGGAAGAAAAATAAATTACAGACTACTTATAGAGTGGTAAGTAATTTATCTAGGATTTAAGCCTACAAAGCTAACCTTGACTCAGCTGAATACAAGCACAATAAATCTATTTGCCTTTTCCCCCCTGTGGTTTTGATTCTATTCTTTGCATTTCTTTCCCCTCCCCAGTCCATGAAAGAGGAGAGAATTACAAGATAGATGACATAATGCTTGACATCTGGTGAGCTGGATTTGAACCTTAAAATGCCTGTACAGGTGTTAGTAAATCCTACCACAGAGGGTTCCATATTTATTAAAGCCTTCTGTTTTTATTCAGCCCTCCCTAGAGGAGCTGATAAACCATGGTTCAGAGTCAGTTTGAGTCTATTCTCTTCTCTATTGAGTAGCACAGCAGTAGCCTTCAAGTGTATAATTTTCAAATTTGAAGCCAATCGATTGAAATCCTTTATCCCAACCTCGTGCACAGTTATTAAATGAGTCTGGAAGAAAAGACCACTTTGCAACAACTATTTCTCACTTTTTCTCTCCCACCCCACTTCTTTTCTTCTAGCCTTTTTACTTACCAAACAAGAATAGGAATCATTCAATCGGTGATCCAAGGTCTGCCTCTGAAGTACTCTAAAGAGTGAAGCATGGTCAAACTTGCAAGGATTAGCAGAAATAAACTCATCCATGCCATGTTTCTGAGCACGATCAGCATCTGATTGTAGGGAAAAAGAAGGATGCGTTTATGCAGTTTATTCCATGTTAAGACTGATTTTCAGTTTCACTGGAAAATAAATAACCTTGTTCAATACCTCCCCTCCCTCTCTGCCCCTTTGTCACAATAAATTTTAAGGAAATGACAGGTGATATAAATGTAGCCAAAGATAAAAAGAATACACAAGGAATTTGTTTTCATTTACTGATGAAATCACCGGGGAGGAGGGGGGAATACCCCTCAAATATCAGAGTGAAACAGCTTGCATAATCAATTCTAACATTTTGCAAAAGCATTGGTGTTCATTTAATAGTGTGGATCTCTTTATTGTGCTCCTAGAAAACAAAATGTTTTGGTTAACACTGAGTTTATTTCTGAAGTTCCTGTCTCACAAAATATTAAGTGTAAGGCTGCTGAAGACAGGACATTTTATCTATTTAAACCCCACATACTTCCTTGGGCATGTCTGTGCTCACAGGCATTAAGATGATGCTCATCACAAACCTAAGTAGCAAACAAACATGGCTGGAAGCCCATTTCCTAAATGGCAAACTGGAGCAGAAATGAACACATAGGCTTGTGCGGGGTCATTTCCAGTCTTTTTCTTTTACATGCAGCTTTTAATCAAACAAACATAATGTAATAATGGCAAAGAGCTCCTTCAACCTTCTAGAATGCAGTAATGAAACTGGGAGCAATAGTTCTTTGTGCAAATTACATATAACGTACAATTTTAAATGGCACTTCAATCAAAAGTCCAAATTTATTGTTGTTCAGAGATTGCATCTTTCAACGCCTTTGAACCCTGCGGGTTTATCAAAAGACAAGCTCTTGTGGTTGCTTTCATTAATGGTATGTTTTGTCAAAACCCTCAGTGTGAGTTGTCTACCAAGTATGGACAGAAAATGCCTTACAGTGGCCAAAAGGACTAGTTAAGCATTAACACATTAGCTCACACAGAGTTCATACACAACATTGGGGGTGAATAGTTTGCTATGAACTCAAAATTGATTTAACCCTTACAATATGGGTCTTTGCTTCTCTTTGTTCCTTTAATTTCAAATATAGGTCTTTTTATGTTCGTTATGAGAAAAGATGCATCCTAAATGTACTTTTAAAAAAACCCTGCATAATACAACCTAAAATTTCTATAGAAAAGGAGACAAAAGTTTATTGATTAAACCCAATTACAGAGTTAGGATCATAATAATACTCCATATTGATCTGTGGGCATGATGCTAACATAATCAGTCACATTTAGAAATTTAGCCCCAGATCATATTGATCCATGTCAAGTCCAACTTTCAGCTGTATTTGCAGATGGAAGAATTATTTAATTCAAGCTGAAGGATCTGCAGCATCACATCTTGAAAAGATGCACAAACTAATTCATATCACTTGGCCCTGCACTGTCAAAGCAAGAGTCACATCTATGTGACAGATTTCAACAAGGTAGCTATAGCAAATAAACAGTGTGACAGTACATTGGTGGTTTAAGGTAAGAGATGATCATCTGCAGAAACAGCAGTATATTCTTTTTCTAGAGTTTATGAGCCAACACTGTGTATGATTAAACACCCTTTAGGCTGAAATCCTGTGCAGAGTTAAATCCCACTGCACATATAAACAAAAAAAATCCTGCACTCACACTGAGATCACCACTGGTTCAAGGGTAAAAAGGGTTCACTTTATATATGGTATATATAGTGCAAGGACATTCTAGGTTCTAAATAAGAAGAAGAAATAAAACTATTTGTACTCCAGTAATTATTTGAATAGATTATTGATAATTTCATATTTTTAAAACTATTCCCTGTCCAAATAATACTAAGAAGATTTTTTTTAATTTCTTAGTCATGGCTCATTTGTTATTTTCTGGTGGCACAGAACTGTAAAAATGTAACAAGAGAACAATGTTTCTTTATGCTTTCTGTATTTCTTTCATGCCTTCAAATTCAAGACTTTTCAAATGAAAGGAATAACCTTCATTTTCCTTTTATTGTTGTTTTTAATCTTTTAAAAACAGAAAAATGCAGGGTAGTTTATAGTTGTTCATTATCTTTTTGAAAAATCCATATATTTGCTGTTTAATATGCTACCATTAAGGCCTTGACTACTTATCAGGGTGGATGCTTGCATTTACACAGAATTAGATCTACAGAAATTGACTCAACATGAGCGAACTATTCCAAAAGAACAAGGATAAATGTGGCAACAGATAAATATAATGCATAGTTCCTAAAGAGGGCAGAAAGAATACAGCGTACAATCAGGAGCTGCAACATATACTGTTCAATAAAAAGCGTAACTTTCACTATGTCTCTACTTTTATGATCGTCAGTGGGCTGCACATAAGAATCTGATTATCGTTTTCTTCAGCTATCGTCCTCCTAAGCCAGACAACATAAAAAGAGCAAAGGGCTATCCAACAAAACATTCCATTAGGGCCAAGAGGATCTGCTGTAGGGATGTGCACAGAGAAAACTTTTTTCCCCCTTGTTTTGTTTCAGGTTCTTTTGCTTGGTGGTGGGGCACTCCTTCATTCTCATGTCTTTCTTTTGTGCATAGGCCCTTTCGTTAAATATCAAAGAGTGGCACTTTCAGGGTGTTTTTTTTTTTTTCCATTCCATTTTTCCTCATTCGTGTTCTCTCTGACACTACTCCAAAAGCCCCAAAGTACCTATAAACTGTTCCAAATAAACCAGAGGGGGAAGGGGGGGTATCCCCTCTTGAGCAAAGCCAGGAGATGTGACAAGAGAGTTGCCTCCACCCAGCTGTTGGAAATAAAAACACTCCCCTCTTCCCACTCCCCCCACCCCAAAGTATGACCGAACACAAACCCAGAGAATGTCATTATTGGGAAAAGTGGCCAAACTGCTCTTAGGATTCTGTATGCTTCTATGTTTTTTTTCTCTCTCTCTTTTTCTCTGTTTTTTTTTCTAGCCCTTAATTGTACAGTAGTTGCTTTGAATGCTCTTATTCTTATTTTTGTTTTGTTTTGTATTATATTTGTTGTAACCGCCCAGAATAGTGCCTTGGCACTAACAGGAGTGGGATATAAATGGAAGATATAAATAAATAAATATTCCTTATAAGGCTCAGCTCAAAGGCATCCAAGTGCTGCTAGAGAGAAAAAGCAAATGAGTGGGCAAGGGGGAAGGGCTAGAGAAATAGGCCATGAATGGAAGACTAATGTTCAGGGAAAAGAGCAGAAATCATGTTGCGAGCTGCCTTGGGCCCCCTATGGGGAGAAAGGCAGCATATAAATAATTTAAACAAATAAGCGACAAAGTCACTTTGGGTCACCAATGTGACATTTTGCCTTATTGAGGCAGCAAACCAACAACCATAGTGGCTCAACTTTCTTTCGCGGCATACAAAACTTTTTTTAAACAATTTTTTATATAAGCATACAAGTACAAAACACCAAACATCCAACAACTACAACAAAAATGCAAAAACAGAAAACCCATACCCAAACATCCAACAACTGCAACAAAAATGCAAAAACAGAAAACCCATAAACAAACCCTCCCCCTTTTAAGGACAGAGATTCCAGCCTCATTTGGGTCTCAGATTTCCAGTGAGCACTGAAGAAAAAATAATATGCAAAGTTTTGCCCTAAACTTCTGTCTTTTTCTGGGCCCAAACAATATATTAACTTCCAGCTTTGTTTTACATAGTCTCTTGGTTGTTCTCGTAGTGATTCTGAAAGTGTGTCTAGTTTTGCAATGTCCAACAACTTCTTTAGAAACTCCTCCATCGTAGGTATTTCTTCACTTTTTCATTTTTGGGCCCAGAGTAACCTAGCAGCTGTGAGTATATACATTAACCAATATTGTATTTTCTTATCAATAATTTCTGGCACAATATTCAGTAGTGCTATTTCAGGTTTAAAATTCAATTTTTGTTGAATAATTTCTTTTATTGTTTCCCACACCTGTGTCCAATATCTCTTGACTTTTTCACATGTCCACCACATATGATAAGAAGTTCCTGTATTTTTTTTACACTTCCAACAAACATTGCTGTTACCCTCTGATATTTTTGCCAACCTTACAGGGGTATAATGCTACCTATAAAACATTTTGAGAATATTTTCTCTTAAATTTACCGGCATAATCATTTTATGACACTCTTTCCACATCATTGTCGTCATCAATGTCAATATTGTGTTCAAAGTTCCTTGCCCACCAATAGAGGATGATTTGAAATTTTGGCAAGGAATAGTTAACTAGCACTGTAATGAAGGGAAGAAATTTAGAATAAATAAAAATATTGGGATAAAACAACAAAAAAGGTGGTATAGGTTTACCAAATTAAAAAATTATTATCTGGCTAACCAATTGAGGTTTATCGGGGAAATTATATATAATCCAGGAAGGCTAATTTGGTGGGAAATGGAATCATCAGAATTACAGGCAGATAAAGAAAAATATCTATTCAGTATAGTTAAGAAAGATAAAATAAGAGAAATTAATAGCCCATTCTTAAAGGCATTGCTAAACATATGGTATAAGTGTAAAAAGAATTTATGTTCATCATACTCCCCACTCGGATTAGTGGCGGAAATAGAAAAACTTCCTACCAATATGAAAGTGTATGCTTATCTATTTAAAGAAAAAAAGTGATCAGATTGAAAGACTGGTTGTATAAAATGAGATTGATAGATCAAATGAAACAAACTCTGCAGAACAGGAACATTTCATGGCTGAATTATATACAACTAGAAAGATGGACTAAGGAATGGGTAAATAAATATAATAAAGGTAGAGAATATACAAAGTTTGAATAATTTTTATTGTCATATGAGGGCATTTGGTTGACTGACTCAGTAAAAGGTACTGTGAGTAAAATTTAAGGTAAAGGTAAAGGTTCCCCTTGACAATTTTTGTCCAGTTGTGTTCGACTCTAGGGGGTGGTGCTCATCCCCGTTTCTAAGCCATAGAGCCAGCGTTTGTCCGGAGACAATCTTCCGTGGTCACATGGCCAGTGCGACTTAAGACACAGAACGCTGTTACCTTCCCACCGAGGTGATCCCTATTTATCTACTCGCATTTGCATGCTTTCGAACCGCTGGGACAAGCAACGGGAGCTCACTCCGTTGTGTGGTTTCGATCTTACGACTGCTGGTCTTCTGACCCTGCAGAACAGGCTTCTGCGGTTTAGCCCGCAGCGCCACCACGTCCCGTGAGTAAAATGTACTCACTTCTTGATTCAGAGTGGTCCTGACCCGACCAGATAGGTGGGATATAAATTAAATAAATAAATAAAAAATTAGAGGAAGAAGAAAGTGAGAAAGAAGGATTGAAAATAGTGTGAGAACAAAACATTGGAAAAAGAATAAATGAAGAATGGAGGAAGATATGGAAAATGAGGGTTTTAAGATTTATGTCAGTAAGAATAAGGGGAAAAAATTTAAACTCAGTTTAAGATGGTATTTAACAC